GGGCAGGAATTTAAACCAGGGAAACAAAATACAGACATTAATAAGCATCAGCTTTAAAGTGTTTCTAAACCCAAGCCCAGTCACCGGGGTTGGAATAACTCTGCTGCAGTTGGAATATTTTAAAGTGATAACATGCTGCGCATTTCCTTTTCCTTTGTGAAATATGCAGGTTATAGTAAAAGAGTGGAGTATGAGCCTGGCACAGGGTCCCTGGCATTATTCCCTGGCATGCATCTGGAGACCTGCGATGAACCCATCACGTCAATTCAAGCAATGGTGCAGTTGGAAACCAGCCACATCGGCAAAGGCTGTGACAGAGACACATACTCCGAAAAGTCTATCCACAGACTATGCGGTAAGGGTCCGGAGCTGCCATCTTGTGTTCTTGTATCAGATGAACCCCATAGCAGAGGTCACTTACTGAGGAGATTGGAACATGCTCAGGATGTAATCCAGCAAGAGGCATGATGTAGAGATGTCACATGAGGGGATACACAAAAACAATAGGCTGATACAATAAACTACAAATTCCCTTATGCATGCACTATCGTTTAAAACTAAGGTACCATTTACACCGGGCAGTTCATTATGTGTGTAACTCAAACTCATTCACACACTTTGTCTCATGTAGATGTGTTGTGTTAAGCCAGCCCATTCATTTGGATAAGTGTCTAAAGCTGCATTTTTGCTAGTGCAATGTACTGCAGTGTTTGATAGTGTGTAGCTGCATATTGGGGCGTGCTGCGGTGCCTTTTACAATAAATAACACTGCACGTAACCATTGGAAAATTAAACAAGCAGTGTACTGAAATATAATCTACTGATAGTCAAACCACCTGGTATTTTGCAGCAACTCTATAGGTGGGACATCTTTGCTGATTTGCCCATATCACAGCAAAGCCATAAAGGAATGTTACCCAGAAAGCCATTTTCTGACATGATCCAAGGCTTCTCTTACACTCCTTCTGCTTGTGTATAGGTGCTACTGCGAACACTGCCGAACTGCTCCCACCTCCTGGTAGTGCCGCCAACTGGACCGTGGGGCTTTCAACTGATAACGGCCATGACAGCGACCAAGTGTTTGAATTCAATGGCACCCAGGCAGTAAAGATCCCCGATGGCATTGTGAACGCCGACCTCAAAGATCCCTTTGTTATCTCCGTTTGGATGAGGCACGGACCAGGTGGCCGAGAGAAGGAAACCATCTTGTGCAATTCTGATAAAACAGGTAAAGAGCATCTCCAATCTCTTCAGATATGTTATTTCCACCCCCGGCTATATACAGACATAGATCTTATTCCAAAAGACAAAGATGATGGCTTTCATAAAAACAAATATTAGGACGCAGGGATTCTTAATAGACTTGCAGATCTGACACCTACTTATACTGGAGGAAGAAGCAATCCAGCGGACCATAACAGAACGTAAACTGAAATTTTAAACTTGCTTAATGGACATGAGTATGTTTGCAGTATTTTTAAAATGCACCAGCTACATGGGATTTGGCGAAATATAGAGACCTACCTGGCCAAATCCCATGTAGCTGGTGCATTTTAAAAGTGACAGCCCCACTGCAATCCCTTTGTGTTGTGTTAGTAATGGCACACGGCTCTATAAAAATGTCTCTGAGACCTTAAACTGTATAGACAGTAACTGTTGGACACACAGCGTGAATGTTGCTGGAGAACTACAGGTCCCAGCTTGGAACATCAGCCATTTAGTTTCTCCTGTATTAGCGTGCGCTCTTTAAATGTGCCCCTTGTATTTTGTTGGTTTTGCTTGATCACCTGTAGACGTTCTAATAACATTACATTGATTATTCAGTATAAATAGACTCTGGCTTCAAAATGTCAATATACCATAAAGCTGGTATTGATTTCCATTCTCCATGACCTGTAAAAAGCACCAGAGCCCCACAAATTGCCATACATTCATTATCACTGTGACCTCAAACCTGCCAATAATCCTCAATGACACATGACATGCACCTCCCATCACTCTGCATAAAAAAAGATGGCCCACCTCTCCGCAGCTGTGTTGTGAGCTGGTTGCAGTAGGGCAATGTGAGACCGCTACTGGGCAGTACAATGACAACCTTGCCTGTAGATCCGCATTTTCCTGTCGTCAATTGCATTGCTGCCCTTCTGGGATTTGCCACACTTGCTGGCTCAGCCAGACTGTGAATGCCGAACTGACATTTTGGAACAATGGGGGTGATCGGTGCTCTTTCACACACACATCTAACAGGTTGGAAGTACTCATTGCCTTCACTTGAAGCCCTGCCATAACAGCTGGGAGTCTGTTGACATGCTTGTGCTGCAGCGGATGTAGTATTTATGCCCATGGCAGTAAAAGGGTTAAAAAAAAAGCGCCTATATTGGGGTTTTATTAATACCTCTACATAGTGAAGAATACCTTTTGAAGAAGAGGCTCTATTCATGTATTGACTCTTTAACCAAGTAGTGATAAAGTCCAAATCAGAACCAGCAGTGGAAAGTGAGCTGCCGCTTTGGTGATTGCATCTATTCCCAAACAAATCCACATTTTACTGAGAAGAAGAGATGGAGTCTTAGAAAATGTTTATGTTTCTACACAAGCACAGAGTAGGCATTGATCAGAAGTATGTCATCTCGGGAACATAGAGGGGTCTGTTGTGAGCGAGAGAAGCGAAAGCCACTCGGATGGTATCACTTCTCAATGTCAAGAGCTTTTAACCTCCAATTCCCTCAGTGCACTGTATGCCTAGCTGGAAGAATAAATGGCTTTTTATCGGTGAACACTTTTCAGGGTTTTAAATATTCAGGAGCAGGTGAAGTCTTCATTTACAAGAAGCCACAGAGAGGCCATTTTAAGGAAGGTGCCTTAGTTAAAAAGCAGAACGTTGTTTTAAAATAAGAGGCATTTTAAATCATGAACTATGAACATTAATCACATTTGATTTCCCTGAAATAGTTTCCATGCATTGGGGGAGCTCATCTTATTTGTCTGCTATAACTTTATTAGGAAGTGTCGCAGATCAGCTGCAGAGCTGATCTATTACCCGTGCTTCAACAGGCTTGATTTTTGTTTTTACCTCTTTGCTGCTGTGGGTCTGCAGGCTCCTGTGGTTCTACAAACATGTGCTCTGCTCTTTCTTAATATACCTTGCCTCCTGCTACTTCCTGGCCTACTATCTCTCTCCCTATTTAAATCCTGCACAGATCAGCTTGTTTTGCTTGAGCAACACTCCTTCTGCCTCTGAGCGCCCACTTGTACCTTTGTTCCTGACCTGATTTTCCTTGGAGTGATATTTCATGTGCCGACTTGGCTTAGTTCTCCTATTCACGTTTCTCTGCTGCCAGCCCGAATTTAGCCCTTTTTACAGATCTTCGTCTTCTTTCTTCTCTGTTGCCCTCTCACCTTTGCCAGTGCTGACTGGAACGTAGCCGCATTCTAGGTCTCCTGTGTGAATAGGAACTCTCTGCACATGAGCAGGGTGAGCCCGGGGTTTGTGACCTGGGGTTCAGCACACAGCTAAGTCCAAAATTCATTCAGGGGGTCCGTCTGGCCCTTAGACCCTGCGCCCTGGGGAATCCTGCGTCACCTACTCGCTCGTGGGCTCGCATCCCTGGAATCATGATAGGAAGAAGCGAAGACAGCTTCTTTTTGGATCATGCTATATAATGGTTTCCCAGCACCTTACTAGGGTATCTGCTACATGGCTTAAGAAAAAATACATTTTAGAACCCCTTTAAGAGATCCAATCATTACATAATCTTTTTGTTTATTTTTTATCTTGGATGCTTTGAGAACTTTACTTAAAATCTCCGCTGTCCTGACAGTTCAGCTTTCTGATGGTTGATAGAGGTGCAGGCATCTTCTTATAGATCATCCCTTGCATCCCTGTAGATGTGCATGATCCCAGTCCCCAGTCTCTTCCAGGGATGAAGCACATCTAAAGGGCTGCCATTGGTGCCATCCTTCATGCAGCAGCAAAAGTGTAAACTGCTGATCTGTCCTCTCATATAGTTGAACGTTTTCCGTAACCTCACCACCGTAATATCTAGAGAGAGTTTGTGCTTTCAGAGATGAGTACACCAACAGTCCCAGTCCAGCAGTTTGCCTAAAGTGCTTCTCTATAGGACTTTAATAATGTCTTGTTTCACATGCGTAGTTTCTTGAACCTGATCCACAGATCCCTCTCCTTTTATTTATCTTGATGTTTTACTTCTGATGGTAATGCTGTTATCAAAGTATTTAGTTGTCATTGCCCCATGGCTTACTGTTTGACTATTCTATTTCTAGACATGAACAGACACCACTACTCTCTGTACATCCACAACTGCAAAGTGGGCTTCCTTTTCCGCCAGGAGCCCATGGAGGAAAAGACTTACAAGCCTGCCGAATTCCACTGGAAGCTGAATCAGGTCGGTGATGGTTCCCATTTAATATCTAGATCCGTTTGTCCTTCATGTTGGGTGATAAAGGGATGGACGTGCAGATCATCACTGTTCTGAAGCATGTGTTTCTTTATATAGGTGGGTTTGCCGCATCTCTGCCAGTGGTAATATTTTATGAGGAGTTTTAGAACGTGTTTTGGCCTGATTAGAATTGCCTAAAAACATTTTCCTAATTTTCATTCAACTGTGATAATGTCAGATACATGTTGGCCCCCTGTCATTTCCTGATGCTCTGATATTGCGGACGGAGCGGCAATAAAGCAGTTTCTGCGTGAGAGGAATTTTATTTTAACAGTATATTCTTTGCTGTTAACTCCACCGCATTAAGCATAAGAATTATGTAAGATACAATAAAAATACATGTTGTTTCAGGATTGGATGGCCTGGCTTTCCCACTGTGTGCTGCTAACTGCAGCCCAGCAGATCTTTATGCAGGTCTGATAAGGAAGCTTTAGCTGGCCATTCACTGTACAAATTCAAGCCAGTTTTTGATGAACCGGCCAAAATGTGTTCAATGGGTGGCCCTGCCATCACTCTTCTGTCCAGCACCCTTCTGTCCGGCATCCTTTGATCAGAAAATCAAAAGTGCTGGTCAAAAGATTTTCAGGCGAACTGAGATGGCAGCCAGTCTGTTGGTGTCTCTGTTCGGGTATTCTGACTGCAGGACACCTGCCACTGTCAGAATACAACAGCCCAACGGGAGATTTGTCCATCCACGCTGCTTAGACCACCAAAGAGAGCAACTATCTGGTCCTACTGCATCACTACATCTGGCTGAAATGCTTCAAAGCTTGCATGCCAATGACGGAACAGTGACAGAGCAGCACCTCGTTGGTTCCCCTAGAGCAGGAGCAACACCGTAGGATCAGGTAAGTGTTCTATGGCAAGTTTCCACCAGTGACAGGATTACTAGTGTCACATGGCCCTTATAAGAGGTCACTGAGTTTTATTTTTTGGATGGACAGCTGTCTTGAATTGCTACCCTCTACTTACAGACGGTTGCTTGTTCTTGTGTTTTGTAGCTTGCTTTTAATTTCAGTTCATGCATTATTAAACATTCAGGAGCCATGAATCCATGCCTAGACTGATCACCCTTCATTGTTACTGTTTTAACTTTAGGTGGAACTCCAGCTAGGACTTTCATGATTTATATATAGTAGAGAAGCGCTAGCCTGGTTTTAATCCCGTTTCTTTGTTGTGGAACATTTCCATCACTTCTTGGAGTGTCACAGTGCACTTCATTCAGCAGTGCACCCTGCATTGGGCAGTGCACCCTGCATTCAGCGGTAGATCTGATAACTTAGTCAGTTTTCCTGACATCTATATATACGTCTGCATGTGAGAAGGCTCCGTGGCCCTGTCATTTGCAGATCGGTGAGGAAAGATTTGTCTGTACTGTAGAGCAGATTGTGGTGGGAGGTGTGGGACGCAGCAAGCAAGCACGCACAGGCAAGTCCTCATGTCACACAGCAGAGAAGGGCTTGGGTTGCTGTTCTGGAAATCTTGTGGCAGTTCAATGGTGGCTTTGTTACTATTTGGAGAGCAGAGTGAGCTCTACAGGGACTGTTCAGTCACAGCCTGGCAAATTCAATGTGTAAAAGGATCTTACAAGATTGGGTTTAATTACCTTTTTTATTTTTTTTTAAAAAAGGGGCTTCGATACAACAATTATTTGTAATTGCAGCCTTTCCACATTTAGGGTGAGTTTAATTTGCCAGCAAACCAAAGTACCTATTACTGCCTTTTCTTTGGAGCCATAAAAGACTTTTGCAAAGATCCCGCGGCCTTTAGTACTTAGGTGTTTGCCTAAAGATAAGGACAATGTTATTCAAAATGGAAAAATATATACAAATTTAAAGGACAAAGGTCACAGCTTTGACTCTACTGTGTGCATGCGTTTTAATATTTTAAAAAACTGTACTTGCTGGTATGTAGATTTTACCTGTAAACATGATCGCGCCACACACTGCCCGCCACACTGCCCAATGCTCAGTTCTGTGGAGCGCAATCTCAGTTAAGGGCGACTATAAAACCATTCTATTTTTTTTATCTTTCTATATAAATCTATTGCTGAGGTTACTGTAAATTAAAATATCCCTGGCATCATTTTTAGATGTGCATGCTCCCCTTGGCTTTTGTAGGGATGGACACATGGACTGTATATCTAATGGAATGCATTTTTATATAACAGAAAATAAAGCCTGAAGGTGCCATCAGTGCTGTCCCCGGCTGGACTACAGTATTACGTGCTGACATAACTTACACTGGCGTCTTCTGTTATTAACGCCTCCTAGTCATCCCCCTGGGAATGCCTCTCTTTACCCTTCCCGGCTACAATTTGAAGCTTCAGCTGGTGCATCTTCAGCAGAAATTAGCAGCCCTCCTGTATTGAAATTGTATTAACTGTATTCTCTCCCTCTGTGTTGTAAAGTGCGGAGCAAACTGCTGGCACTACATAAATCCTGTATAATAATAATGATAGGAGATGTAGTTTGTGTTTCTGCACACATGAATGTGCTTAGCTTGGTGCAGCAATCACCCCGGTACGGAATATACTTTATGGTAAAGAAAAGCAGATTGCAAACCAGTGAACAGAGGTGTTACTTAAATCAGGGGTGGACAAATTCATATGGGATTTAGGAGCCAGTCTGTCCAATTCAGGAGCCAACAGGATTTGTTTTTAGGCGCCAGCTCCATTGAGGTCGAATAGAGAACCTCAAACTTTAGCTGCCTTGGCTACCCAGCTCCCAGGATTCATCCAGCCGTGACTTAAATGCATATAGCGTCATATATAATAAGACGGTGACGGCTTAAATCTACTTTTATCGTGAATGACCTTGCTTGCATTGCACGGAATTCGGCTTCTTTTAAAATGTACAGTAAAAAAGATAAATTCTCCTAGAACGGAGCCATGGGGCTTCCTTCACTGTCTTCCAGATAATGTCTTGTCACTTTAATCCTGGAAATGTGACACAATTTAGCACTCGTGTTAATAAGGGTGATGTAGGCCTTGCAGCCACCAGTTCCCTCTTAATGAATCAAATTAGGCAGCGCCAAGATAGTCTTGACAAGCCGGTCCTGGTACCGCTCTTGCAGCTTTTACGGATGCTGAAAGTCATCCTTTGGCCCCTCGGGATCCGCCGAGCTGTAGCCAAGGTGACCTTGTGTTCTAAAGGGGATGATTTGGAGGATCAGACGCAGATTGACTCATACTGTTCCAGGCTCTGTCTCTGCATGTTGGAGGCAATTGTTCTCTTGACTGTTAGCTGCCAACCCAGGAATAAATACCATTCCACAATTTTCCACCTCAACTAGTGAAAAACCTCAATTCTATGTGCTGTTCTAGATTTTATATGACACATGAAGAGGTATTTAAAATGTACATCAAGCCCAACCCAACGTACAATAATGAATAATAACTCTTTACTTCCTGCCTGCAGTGCCTGTGTCTTGAGGCTGCCCCGGGCATGACTAGCTGGTTCTTGGAGCCCATTTGTCTGGTACAGGCCTGAGGTATAACACATAGCATTGGCTAGACTCTGAGCAAGCTAACCTAGAAGGCTGTTCCTGCCATCCATCA